AACCTGCCCTATGCGAGAGCCGATGTCAGTATTGACATCCAGTGGGTCACTAGTACCAGTGACTTCACTAACAAGGTCATCGACCTTAACTTGCTCTATACGAGAGCCGATGTCATTACCGACATCCAGTGAATCGCATTTACAGCTAATATCACTAATAAGGTCATCGACCTTAACTTGCTCTATACGAGAGCCGATGTCATTACCGACATCCAGTGTCTCAATATTACTATGAGTATCACTCAACGGAGTACGTGCCGTTCCACTAGGTGTCACTGAGCTCTGCTCGACACTATTATTGTTGACATTGGAGTTTATCAACTCAGACACTCCAATGTCCAGCACACTAACTGACTCAGTTAATGGCTCGCGCCAATAGCACTTCTGTTTCCTAGCGAAGGTGGGTTCATGACTCTCCAAAGCTTCGCTAGGAACATTGCGCGTTGCGCCTAAAGTTTTGGATCTCCAATCGATCCATGGCTCATGGCGTTCCAGCCAGGCCATACCGAGAATGAGATCATATCTCGAGTCCAAATCTAGGACAAGACAGCGTTCAACGCTATTGAAGTCTAAGAACTTCACACCTAAGTTCAACGGAACTTTAGGAACGGTGACACGTACACCGGTCGCGAGACGCACGGTTATACTGTCACCCTCTTGCGCTTCTAGCGCCTCAGCATACAGCTGACTCCCTTCAAGGGAACGACGTCGGACATAATTACCTGACGCCCCTGAGTCAATTAAAATTGACCATGGTTTCTCAAAACCCTTAACGGTTGCCGACACAACCAACAAGCCTGGCTTGTAATCTTGTTCTATGGGAGCATCCACAGAACCACCTGGGGCTAAGCCCTGTTTACCTTTACCTCCTAAAGATCCAACAGAACTTAGTTCTTTCCCAGTAGGGCGCCCCGCGCCTACTGGGAGTTGACGTTTTCCCCTGCCGTGCTCGCCTTTTGGCTAGGAGCAGGGTTTCGGCTCTGCCGATTTGAACGTTGCTTTCGCAACGGACAGCTAGGGCGGAGATGCCTAGTGCTTCCGCACATGTAACATCTACGGATGTTACCTTGCTGCTCAGCAGCTTGAAGCTCAGCTTCTTCAGCATGGCTGAGGTCCATGGGTTCCGCCCTGTTAGAGGCATTTGATTGATACCAGGGCAGACCATAGCGAGCAGATTTGAAATTAAATTCAGCGTTAAACGCTATGCTTACTGCCTCTTCGAAAGTCGAAGGCTGGACACGGAAAACTTCCGTCCTGGCGACCCCAGTACGAAGTCCTTCCATAAAAATGGTTACTCGGACTTCCTCTGCCAGAGGGTCCTGCTGCATAGCAGCAATGAGAGTTCTCAACTCTTGGACATAGTCCGACAATTCTTTCTTACCCTGTCGGGTAGCTAAGAAGCGTGAGCGCACACGATAAGCCTGATTAGGCGGTGCAAACACACAAGTTAATTGCTTTTTAAGCATTTCCCATGTGGGGAATGCAGCATTTACAGAGACATCGCTCGTTAGAGCCCACTCTCTAGCTCTTCCACCGAGCTTCGAAATGGCCAAGCCAACTCGTTGCTTATCTGATACAAGCATGGCGGCATCCATTGCCATTTCAACTTCTCGGATCCAGAGGAGAAGATTTTCTCCCTCCTTCCCCTCAAAGGTCTTTACGTTTAAAACGAGTGGGCGAGCCTTTGGCTCTGCATCGGGCACAGGTACCGGGATGTACTGTGTAGGCGCAGCTGACGCTGCCTGGTCATGGACCTGCCCGAGTAGCGTTGCCTCATAACGCATAAAGGCCTCAAGGCGAGCATTAAGAACCTCCGGGCCTTGGGCCAAAAGGGCCTCGATTTGGTCGGGCCCAACGAACGCAGATAATTTATCTAGCGCGAGTCGTTGCGCCTCAGAGAGGTGATTTTGATTCTCCATCCTCACAGAGGGTCAGTCTTTAAAGGCTCAGGTGTAGGATTGACTACAAGTGCTACCAAGTGTAGCGAAGCTACACAGATCTTTAGCCAGAAAAAGACTTTAGGCTGAAAGCCTCTTAGTTCTAGAGAACTAAATAGAGTTAAGGCTAAAAGCCACTTAGTTTTAAGGAACTAATTAAACGACTTAAAGTCACCCTGTTCTAAGGAACTAGGAAAGAGACTTTTAGTCAGTCAAGCAATAAGCTGAAGGTTCAGAGAACCAACGCACCGAGTGCAAGAACAAGCTAGAAGCTTAAGGTTCAAAGAACCAACACACGAAGTGCACAAGAGAACAAGTCAGAACGACTTGCGATCTTAAACTCAAAATAAGAACTGATTTTATTTATGCATTAAGATTTTATGAATAGTCTTACTCTAAGTACTCTACACTAGATTAATTACTATAATAGTAATTATAATATGCAGAATTTGCTATTGGACGATTCGGTTGGTATATGTGAGCCACATAATCCTAAGACACGGGTCAATCGTCATCACTCACCACGTAATAGGATGGTATTCTGTCGTTTGTTCCTGGTCTGCTGCGCCCTGTGGGTCGGCATTGCCGCTTCATCACTGGACTTTCCTGACCTAAGCAGCTACAGTCTACCATGTGAACCATTCTCGTGTCGCCCTAAACGAGCTCCCGCTCCAGTCAAGTGAGCCTAAAGTAAAAAGGTTTCTAGATGGCTACCTTTTATGTCTCATTTGCTTTGCTGTCTTTTGCAGAGACTTTGAGTTTACGTCCAATGGCTGTGGTACATCTGGTATGTCCATTAGTGCGAGTAAAGACTTTCAAGAGTGCTGTGATTGGCACGATGCGGTACGTCCCAGTCGTATAGTTATGATGATTATAACAGCTGTTTCAAATTGAAAACTGAGACAAAACATTGTTTGTTACAGTGTTATAGTGTTTGCGGGATGCCAAAAGCCACCTGTGAAAAACGATTTCAAAAATGTATGAAGGCTAAATGCAGAGAGATCCGGAGTTACAAGAAACGTGAAGAGTGCGTCTCTACCGCTAAAATCTTTTACATTGGTGCGAATGTACGTGGACCACATAAAGTGTCATTTTCTTGGTGTTTGGTCCACTTAGTGGCTTTATTTTATGGTCGTTTTTTTGCTCAATTAGATGGTTGGGTGTCCGGCATACGAAGATGCACAGAAAGAAGCATGTGAATGTGTGCCAACTGATCATGCAGCTTTTGCTACTCGTGAGCGTGTGAAGTATTTTCTCCAAAAGAATGGTGCTCCGGAAGTTGATGTTGAAGAAGAAGCTATTGATGCATTACTGGAAAAGTACAAGGAAGATGAACCGACAATGTTTCTACGACTGTTGAAAAAGTATCCGAAGGCTCTTAAGACGGACTTGGCCAAGACTAATTTTATGGACGATATTGTCAATAGTGCGGACACGGACCTCAAGAAGAAAAAGAAAAAGGGAATTCAGATTGAAAAGGAGATGCCTGTGGACGAACACGAAGAGCTCTGATTATCTTTTCCCCACTCTAGTAATTGGAAGCCCAATTGAAGTGTTTTCTTACTACCAACAAAGAGTTATCCCTTCAATTTAGTTCGTGGTTTTTCTACCACGTCACTTACATACTCAGGTCTGCTGATATTCACTCCATGTTCCTTTAAACGACGTATCATCTAAACATCTGTGTATGATGTACTTAGTACAGCGTTATCGATTATTGAATCCTAATCGATAGGATACGGTATTACCGAATACCGTATCTTAACGCTCATACATGTACTAATACCTCTCTAAAGAGGAAGTATCAAGAATGCATTATATGCAATACAAGGGGACTTCAACCGTAAATTTTGGAATGGTGTTACAATTGTCGTGTAACCCCGTTACAAACTACCTATTTCATTGAATGCAAAGGTATGACTTTTCCTGATTGTTATGTATGCATTGCCTAGCCATCTTATACATCTTTTTTATGTAAGCTCTGGTAGTGGATATGTAAGCTGTGGTGGTGGATATATAAGCTCTGGTGGTGGATTTATAAGCTTTTGTGGTGGATATATAAGTAGGATTGGAATTGTTTATAGTGAAAGTATTTTTTTTATTTGCTGAAGTAGGGAAGAAAAAAATATATTGCAGTTTATTGTTGTAATCTAGTCATGTGCCGGACTTCCGTCAAAAACAGAAGAGGCATGCGCAACTTCAACACAGAGTTGAACAGACGGTCCGGCCAAGGGACATCTATTGAAACATAAGGATGAGACGTCAAACAGCTTAAAAATTGGTTGCCGTGCCTATAATTATAGAAGCATACTACCCTAACGTGAGGACGAGGTATATGGGTTCGTTCGTATGCATATCATAGTTGCCCATCATGTACTAGGAGCGTGGCGAATGAACTTTGCTCTTGAAGTCGCTTGGTTGCATGTTGAGGAGAGTGGTACCACGCTAATTTTCGCAGACAAGCAAGGAAAGGCCCGAGATACGCCACGTCGCTGGGTGACGCGCTTTAATAGCGAATCGCCACCAAAGAGATAGTTCATTGGCTAATAAATATTCAAGCGAACGATTCAACAGGCTCACAAAATGCAACATAAGGCTTAGCTTTTTGCCTGAACATACCTATCATTGTACTCCCCGTGTCAACAATCAATGCAAATCTATTTAGAAGTTTAGGCGCGTAGAAACAGCGTCACTTTTATCGTTTTGCAAGTTTGAATGACGACAGTTTTGCCTCAATCCTGCCGGATGAGGAAACCACACGGGTAGCATTGAAAGAGATACGTACGGATAAAAAAGTTGTTGCTCTTAGCCAAGGATTACGTGAAGTGGTCTCCTGGCAATACGGGTACTTGATGGAAGGTAGTTCACATATTACTGAACGAGCTCTGCCGCTACTGAGACGTCACTTAATGGCCGTGCTGTGGCCTCTATGACGCGACAAATTTAAAAATCCACCACTAACTCTTATATATCCACCACCAGAGCTTATATATCCACCACCAGTGCATATATATCCACCACCAGTGCTTACATATCCACCACATTTGCCCTTCGCCTATTAACTCAGGAGTCCTTCATCAACTCCAATACAGCACTAAGCTCCTCACCAGTCAGCTCTGGTGGCACAGGATTGCCTCCAAAACCTGCTTGTTGCCGTAGATCGTGCGGCGATGAGCTCGCATACTGACGACCAATGTCTTCTTGTCGAAATGGCTGGGTGTGTTGCTGCTCCGATTTGGCCAAGAAAGTCGTCGTGGTTGATGTGGGCTGGTATGAGCTCACGAACACGTGATTATCGATACCACGAATACATGACGATAATGAGACGGAGGCAGACACAAATGAACCCGCTGAAGCATACATAGGGCTGCTCGATGTAGACATTTCAACCGAACTAGGCGCCGTTGCAGCGTCATAGTAGCGGTGTGAAGGCAAGTGGGTCAGTGGGTGAAGTGATGAGCCTAACAGACCGCTGCTCGGCATACCCGTAGGCTCCGATGGAAAGGCACGTGTTGGAAACGGAAGTCGTGGCGTAGCTTGAGACGATGTTCGGTTATCCGAGAACGTTTTGGTTGCCGGTATCAGCTCCCGACGAAAGTCATTTTCTTGCCGCTCGTGCGGAATCTCCTTTTGCATCATTATTAATGGACCAGGGCCCCCTCCAAACATCCGATTACGCTCATCTTGGTAAAAATCTTCTGTCACAATTGAATGCTGCAGTTGCTGTGAAAATTCACCACGTCGTAGCTCTGCGTTAGGCGGAATGACACTGTTCTTCGAGCTCTTTCTGTCCAAAGTATTGCCATTCATATTCTCGTCCGAGATATTCGTAAAATCGTCAGCCACACTAGAATGCAATTTCTGGTGTTGCACATAATCTTTGTAGTTATCACAAGCCCATGCACAGGCTTCTTCTGTACATCGAAAGAGATTCTGCCCGTCTGGAAAGTGGATACGCATGTGACGTTTTAGCTTGGTACTAGTATTAAAACGCTTGCCACACATTTCATAGCAGCATGGATACGGCCGTTCGCCACTGTGAATGCGCTTGTGACGGCTTAAGTTGCCCGATGTATTAAATCGTTGTGAACAGCCTTGATAGTCACAAACATATGGCTTCGTGCCCGTATGAATGCGCATATGGCGTCGCAGTGCAAAAGAGCGTGGGAATTGCTTCCCACAATGGACTTCTGGACACACATAGAGCTCACGCTTGGGCTGCTTGGAGCTCCTGGATGAAACGATGGACGGAGGCTCCACCTGCTGCGTCCGAGGTGGACATACTGTCCTAGGCTTGACGTCTGTGACCGTATTTGTCCAGGATTGAAAGCGTGGAGCCGACGAGACAGGAGGATGGGGATGATGTGCTGCCGACGCATCCTCTTCATTCAATCGACGAAATGTTTGAGGGAAGGCGGATTTAGGTGCGTATACAACGGTCTCAACACTGCTTAGTACGGATAACGGCGTCATTTGCATGCGCATGTATTGTATACCGACACTTGAACTATTAGTTTTGACAAAGAATTAAAAGTGCACTATACTTTTGACAAGTAATTAGAGTGAGCGGAAGATGGCTAGTCGGAGAATGATAGAGAACCGAAATGGGACGCGCTCCTTTCATTTCGCAACCAGCTTTTTTGCGCCCTGTCGCTTTACCCGTACCTGATTAAAAGCAGAATGCGATTTCAGAGTATAGAGAGAATCCTTTTCGGTTTAATTAGAGCCTCTAATTAAGAATATTATATAAATTAAAAGCAAAAGAATACAGAGAAATACAGGTACGTGGCATAAAAAGAACACTACAACTGAAGCAGCACATATCGCTCACCAAGAGATAAAAGACGACACAATAAACTGGGCAAGTCTGTTTACTAACATGCACGCCGTTAAATGCGCGATACTCGGCCACGGTTTGACGAAAAGGCTGCAGTACATGACTGCTTCCAATATGTTTCTTTTGAGGGCTATACTGGAAGTAATCATGAAGTCCTGATACGTATAAAACACAGAGCTTTAATTTCGCTTGTAACAAAAGAGATATTGAATAAGGCTGCCATTCTGATTTGCAGACCTCACCATACTAGTGCTTACAGATATATTGAGTGTCTTTTCTCAATTTGTAAGTATAAACACTTTTTGTTAGCAGCATTAACTACGTTACAAGTTGCCTTAGTGTTTATTAATCTCCATAGCAATCAATATTATGTTATTGACGGCATATACATGATATGTACTTAAGCAGCAGCACATGTCTGTTGGGGCTGATGCATTTGAAGATGACGTCTTTTACATTTATGGTGTCATAGGATATTTTAAGGGGTTCAAGTTATAAAAATTAATACAAATTACTCTTGTTATAAGTTTACTGTACTGCTTTGACATCAATAGTCTCGTTACCCAATACCTTGACGATGCTCAACGACTTCCATCCACTAGCATTACGCCATAAACCCATCATAAAATAGATTGAGCTTGCTCTTTCGACCAAAGAACATCTGCCCTCACGAAATTGCATTCCATTCCAATGGCAACTCGGTCCGATTATTTTCATTAGATTATTAGCAAATGTCGAAGAGAAGTGCTAATTATTTACATAATGGGCCACCTGCGCGGAGGTTAATCGGCCTCGGTGATAAGTGAAAACAAGTGTCTTCATCTTTGCTGACTGCAGACGACATCAAGTAGAACGGGAAGTGAATGAGCTCGATCTTCAATGACGAATTTTAGCACCTGGTTTCGAACTTCTACCATGCATCGGGTCAGCAGACTAATATATACTTTGAGCCTAGGTGCGTACTTTAATTGCTTCTTGTCCTATACACGTGCAAAAAAATTAAGATAGGTTATGTTTAACAGTAAGTTTGTGGACGTATTTCTACACTGACCCCCATTTAATGTTCTCAATTGCTCGTGCGTCAGGCTATGCGAGAAAGAACCACCCAAAGAAAAGCCGGTTCAAGGTGTACACAATCGTATGGCAACCAAATCCTCGCAAATTTCTGATGATGTGACACGAGAAAAAAAGACGTCGCAGCAGTTCTTTGCAAAAATGTGGGTTTATGCTCTAAAACAGGTATAGCCAAGTTAATATCAAAGGAAATACAAGATTTTTGGGGTGCACACGAGAGGGATCAGAATTCTTGATAGTGGACCTGTGCTATCAACCCACTGCTGCAAGCCTGCACTGGCTGAGTTACATACTCAGTGCGCTTCAACTGAATCATTGCAGCTTCAGTTCCCCAAGTTTAAGGCTGAACACGTATCACACGATCACAAGCTTGGGGTTATGGGCAACATGGCAAGTCCTTCCCTATCTGCGCGTAGCAGAAGTAATGCGAATCGTACGGGCTCGGTACTGGAGAGTTACCCTAGACATTCACTAGCCAAAATGTTTACGCACGGGTGCCTTCAAGCTCACACCTGCTTAGCGTCCTCCATCAAGCCAACAACGAAGCTCACTGGATCATCGACGTGCCCAACCGCAAGGCTCCCATAGCCAACATGAAATATCTTCTGGGTAACTCAAGCGGCTATGGACATATTAAAAGTCCCCTTCTCTTGTCACCTATCACGGCAGCTAGACAGTATGTTTTTATCACATTTGTGCTTTTGTCCTAAGGCTTAGCATCTGGAGTTATATAAGTATAATTGTAACGAGGTTACATGACGGTGGTAACATCATTCCGAAAGTTAACGGTTGAAGTTTTTCTTTTATGTATGTATGTGAACGCTTTACGCGAGCCGTCTTGCCACCAAAGTGGCTCAACTTCCGCATGCGTCGGGTTATCTCTCTCTTTCTACAATTCTTTCTCTCTCGGCCAGGGTCCATCAAGCGGCGTGTGCGCTACAAGCGCCTCGGTCAAGTCCTTATAGGCTGCACGATCCTGTGCACAAAGGCGAAGGAGGTACAGGTCTGGGGCACGTTGAAGGTGATATCCTGCGGAAAGTGTTTGAAGGTCGGCATCGAGGACCATCGGTAGCGTTAGTCGGCGTCTGCCTCTCCATTTGCCGGTCTCGCTGGGGTTGAAGAAGGCTTCCATGAACCGGTATGCTGGAATGCCTGCAGGTCTGCGGAGGATGTGGCCCAAAAGGCTCCAGCGACTGCGAAGCAAGTGGAATCGGAGTGGCTGCGTCTTTGTACGGTCGTAGAGCTTCTCATTCGAAATCGTGGCTGGATAACGGACTCCGATCACTTTGCGGAGCTGTTGACGATGGAAACTCTCGAGGCTACGTAGTACGGAATCGGTGAGGGCCCAAGTCCCGCAGTTGTAAAGCAGGATCGGCAAGACGTAGCAGTTGTAGAGGCGCAGGCGCGTAGCTTCCGAGGTCTTCGATGGCCGGAGCCAAACTTTCCACATGCGGTGTAGTGCAGCAGTCGCTATATTTTTGCGACGGGAAACGTCTTCGGCGTCTCCGAGGAGAGAACCTAATTTACGCGTAATTCGCCAATCCTCATCCTTAGCACGAGTAATCCGGTTGGACAGAGCGGTTGTGCTGCGGTGTACGATGGTGTGTTCGGTCTTGGACGTGTTCATCTGGAGTGACCATTTGGCTAGAACGGCAGGGGCTTCAGTCTCGATCAGGGTAGCTATGTCAGCGCTCTGGCAAATGAAGTCGGCGTCGTCGGCGTACACGATCATGTCAGCGAGAAGATCGTGGGGAACGTCGAGATGGCCGGCTAGGTCTCGTAAAGCTGCTTCGAGGTAAACAACAAAAAGAACGGGGGAAAGTGAGTCACCTTGGGGAGTACCTGTATTGCTCTCGAACGGGGAGAACAGGCGACTGCCGAGTCGAAGTGAGAGCATTGTTTCTCGTAGTAATAGCCGGATCAGTCGAATTTCGTCGTCATCGAGAAGTGGCTTGAGCACGGAGAGAAGTTTGTCGCGGTTGACAGTGTCAAAAGCACGTGAGAGGTCGATTCCAAGAATATGGAAGCGTTCTTTGTATCTCTGAGCGCGTGCTGCTATCCACCTGTGAGCCCACACTGTATCGGGAGTGCTGCGACAGGGTCTGAACCCGCTTTGGTGCGGGGACAAATGTTGTTCGACCTTGTGGGAGATGCGGCGTAGCACCACCAAAGAGATCGCCTTACGAATGCTGTTGAGTAAGACGATGGGTCGAAGGCTGGCACATTGGCCAGCCGGCTTGTTTGGCTTGGGAAGTCCGAGAAGAATCTCGTCGCCCAGGTGGATATTGTCTCCGGTGGCGAGTCCGTGGTTGATGATGTCAGCGAGTGGTTGAGCTAGTAGCTCTGATCCATACTTGAGTAGCTCGGCAGGAATGGAGTCCGGGCCCGTTGCGCGTCCATTGCGTAAGCGACGGAACGCGCATTCGAGTTCAAAGGCGGTGATCGGATTGTTCAGGGGTCGTTTGACGCCTTCGTCGGCGACGGGCGTGCGCGTGCGATCGAAGAACTGGTCCTGGAAGTGTTGCTTGATCTGGATACCTGCTTCTTGGCGGCTGAGTATATATTTACCTGTAGAGTCATGTAACGAGAGTGATGGCGAGCGCCGTCGGAAAAGGGCTCGCGTGGCTTCAAACATGTGAGTCGAGCGGTTCGACTGTTCAATGATAGCGAGTTTCTCGTCGATGAAAGCCCCAGCAAGAGCTTTGCTGCGCTCTCGAATCCGATGCAGAAGTCGGTTGCGTTTGGTTCGTAGAGCATTGACGTCTTGCGTGTGGTCATTGTAGATGAGCTGCCGAAGTTGACGTTGTTCGTACGTGAGGCGAGAAAGCTCGGGATCCACCTCTTTACCATGCTTGACAAGCGGCATGTAGCCAACAGAGTCCGCCGCGGCCTCAAGCGCAGAGTGAAGAGTGCTCGTACATCGTTGATTCGTAGTTGTCCCTCTTTGCGGTAGGTCGGCGAGGTACATCTCGAGATATTCGCGGTACATGGTGCGGTACGTGCTGTCACGGACAAGAAGATGTGTTGCCAGGCGCGTTTCAGCTTCGCTATCACGTGCTCGTTCCTGACGTCGGCGTAGTCCGCGTAAGGCGCGGAGGTCGAAGTCGAGCGTGACGAGCTTGTGGTCGGACGGTGTGAGAGTGACCCCCCCCAGGATTGCGCGTTACTGCATAATGTCTTCGTCCGTTGGCTGCAGATGATGTAGTCGATTTGGTTGAAGATGCAGTGGTCCTTGAGTCGAAGTGTCCATGTCGTGATGTTGCGCGCACGTTTCCTAAATGCTGTGTTAGTAATAAACAGGTCGTTAGCGTCACAGAAAGAAGCGAGGATGTGTCCATTGCGGTTTCGTCGGCCACGGCCCCAATGTCCAAGAAACGATTCATTGTCGCGGCGTTGACCGATTTTGGCGTTAAAGTCTCCGAGGGTGATCGTCGTGTCGCGTTGAGGGAGCTTCGATAGCGCTGTGTTCAGGTCCGCGTAGAAGCCGTCGATTGATGTAACAGGATACCCACTATGGGGCGCGTATGCGTTCACGATGTTCACTCGCTGGGCTTTGGGAAGACGTAGTTGAAGAATCCCAACTCGGTCGGACTGGGCCCAGTATTTGTAAAGAAACCTGCGTAGATGGGGGGCAACTGCAAAACCAATTCCGTGCCAACGGTTGGAGCATGGGAGCGTAAGAAGATGATACGTACCGTCCTTCTGTTCGCTTTGAAAGGCAATACGAGTCTCTTGGATCCCCAGGATGTCAATCTTGTACGTCGACAGATCTCTGGGAAGGGTCTCATATTGCTTGCGCTGGGAACCAATGGATTGAACATTGAACGTACCTAATCGGAGATGTCGAGGCTTCGGGCGCCGCTGCGTGCGTCGCGGCGGCTTGGCTGGCGGCTGGGGGTGAGAGAGGTTAGAGAAAGGTGAGGAGAGGGAGAGACCCGTCAAAGACTGACGGATGCCGCGGAGCACCCGTCGGAAGACCTGAGCTAGCATCATGCTGGCCCAAACTTCCCGGGAAGGCGTCACCCCAACCCGACCAGGATAGTTTTCCTTTTATTGCATATAATGCATTCTTGATACTTCCTCTTTTGAGAGGTATTAGTATGAGCGTTAAGATACGGTATTCGGTAAAACCGTATCCTATCGACTAGGATTCGATAAATCAATAACGCTGTACTAAGTACATCATACACAGATGTTTAGACGATACGTCGTCCAATAGCAAAGTCTGCATATTATAATTACTATTATAGTAATTAATCTAGTGTAGAGTACTTAGAGTAAGACTATTCATAAAATCTTAATGCATAAATAAAATCAGTTCTTATTTTGAGTTTAAGATCGCAAGTCGTTCTGACTTGTTCTCTTGTGCACTTCGTGTGTTGGTTCTTTGAACCTTAAGCTTCTAGCTTGTTCTTGCACTCGGTGCGTTGGTACTCTGAACCTTCAGCTTATTGCTTGTAGACTCTTTCCTAGTTCCTTAGAACAGGGTGACTTTTAACTCGTGTTATTAGTTCCTTAAAACTAAGTGGTTTTTAGTTTTAACTCTAATTAATTCTCTAGAACTAAGAGGCTTTCAGCCTAAAGGTCTTCCTCTCTTAACATAAGGGTAGCTTCAGAGTCCGCGGCAGTAGGGCATCCCGCCCCTACTGCGCTCCCACATTTCCCGACTTGTCAGGAGTCGAATTTGAACCCGTTCGACGTGCACGGTTCTTAGAACCACCGTTCGGGCTGGGATACCTTTTTCTGGGCGCCTTTGCCCTAGCAGCAAGTTTGGCATAGCCGCGATTCATCAAATGGCCTCGCTCGTCGCACTTGTAGCAGACCACGTCTGCATTTCATAACTCCATTGGAGTGGCATCAGACCTCTCGGCCGACGGCCTGTAATGGGCTGTCGCTGAGGCAATGTTGTAGGATTGCTCCTCAACTAAGGCAATGTCAATTGCCTCTTCCATCGTCTTTGGCACCTTTATAAAGGTCCTGACGCGATAAGCCGATTCATGAACGTGGACACCTTGATACGTTCCGGTATCGGACCCACATTAATGGACGCAGACAGCGACCGCATCTCCTGCACATACTATTGCAGAGATCGCTTCGCCTATCGTGTTCCAAAGAAGCGCGCCATAAGCAACACTTCGTTGTTAAGCGGCTAATAAATGGCGCGAATCTTTGTTTTAAAGATCACCCATGATGGAAATGAATCAGCATTAGCCATCAGCGCAGAGTATGCCCACTCTGACGCTTTTCCACGCAAGTTGGACATGGCATACGACACCATTCTGGTGTCGTCTTCGATGAGGTGCGCCACTCCACATTGCTCAACTGCTAATAACCAGTGAACAATCGTGTGAGGGCTAGTTCCATCGAACTTCGGAGGGTCCATCCGAATGGGCCTCGGTTGAGCAGGCCGGGCAGAGAGCGTCTCAACAGTCCTGTTGGCGCCTCATTACGTGCCTGCTCAAGCCTAAGATCATCCTGAGTCTTAGCGATGGACTCAGCCGTGGCCTGGCTGTTTACCTCGGACGCGTTTCTACGCTATCCGAGCACAAACGCCTCAAATTGCTCCAACTGAGCAACATGTTGCTCAGGAGGAAAATGCAAAAGATTGACCAGGGCTTTTTCACTAACTCCCTGCGCCATATGCTCTACCAACTCCCTATGATGTTGGGAGAGGTGAGGAAAATCACCCCAATCCATGTTGAGGGGCATCCGTATCCACACACACGCTCAAAGAGATGGGTCGTGGGAAGAACTACTAGTGCTCCTATAGTGTAGACGGGCACTTCGTAATGAAGCTGCCACGTACTACGCGGACACACCTTCAAGCAGCGCGAGGAAGCGCTTATACCGTCTTACCTCCGCGTGCGGTGGTGGTGGTGTTGGTCGGCGCTACGAAGCGCTGTACCAACCGTTGCCGGTCGCTTTGAAGCTAACCGCGCAATGAACTATCAAAACGTGCTTCCCTTGCGCCACTCAGAAGCTTATTCAGCTTCTTGTGCGTAGTGTGCGATAGTTAGTAAATTCAAGACTGACTTATTTTCAATATCTACATATAATCTTAGCTACTGATTGGCTAAATATGCAAAGATTGGATACGCGTCTCTTTAGAAACGTATCCTTACGTGCAAGCCTAAAATATATTTAAGCTCGTTAGTGATGTCTGTTTGAAGCGACACCATGATGCCCAGTCCCAACTGGCGTGATCCTCGTTGTATGTGAATCCATCAATCGATATCTCATTTACGAGGGTGGGTCACATTGATGTGCCACACCCAAGTGCAGGCCTAAGGTACCTCGTACCCATTTAGACCTTCCCGTTAAGTATTCGATACTTAAGGAACCGTGTTACTATTAAATACTGTAAATTTACATATAGCTTTCACTAATAGCACAGAAAATACACATGTCTCACAAATATGGGCCGAGTACAACTAACAGGGGAGTCAAACCCATAATTCTTTTAGCCCTTGAGGCTGGACCTGCCAGGTTTTTTATCCTAGTTCTCTTATGTACAATAGACATGATCCGATAAGTTCTATCCTCCGTTAAGTTATGGATATCGTCGCCCACCGTAATGATAACCTAACGGAGGGAGCTTTGTAGTCAACGGATTGTCACACATCGACTACATGTACTGGACTATTTGTGTCTACCATGTAAATGTTAAGGATATAAGAACAAAAGAATGATCAAGCGCTTCTAAGAGTTGCTCAATTCTTACTAGCAGCAAGGTGATACTTTTCGGCATGCGCTTGCGTACTATCCTGTTGTACATTTGCAATTGACGTTACCTTACACACTCAAAATACAAAGGAGCATGCAGGCCGAATGGGTGAAGTAAGCATACTTTTTATCTGTTATCAAATGGATGCTTTTGTTTGCTTAACGGGTCATGGCATCTTCTATTCGTGCTACCATCAAGAATTCGCCATGTGGAATGTAACGTTACTCATCGAGGAATGATATCACGCTTTTCTATTCTAAGACAGCGTGGACATTAACAACAAGCTTGTTCTTTCTCGACATTGTCGCGGAGTAGACATCTCATAGCGTCTTTGTATCCATGCTTTATTCAATAACATTGTCTTTAGTTGTACCCAAGGATCATGGGAGCATTCTTTATCTACAACGATCTTTCAAGCGCGTAGGCTTAGTTAATCATAATACTCGCTGACCTTCATTTTTCGTTGTAATCGACTATTGCGCCATTTGTATTTTATAACAATAAGCGAATTGTGAAAGGTCTGAAATAACTCGCATCTCCATCAGGTTCCAACTTCATTAGCGATCTGTAGTAGCAAGTCTTTTGCGATGGCTTTACTAAGTATTTGTTCCAGCAATAAACTATCTTAAGCGGATGTAGCAGCTCAAACGAGAGCGTGATGCTACACGTGAGTTCCTAGAGTTTAAAAATCGATAATCAAGTTTAGCGAAGACAGCGAAGAAGGCGGAAGTAGTCAAGTACATTATTTTGTATGCCTTAATCACTTGGAAAAGGTTGATGTCACATTTCTTACCATCAAAGCATTACTTACGCTTAACCCACCGACTTTGTCAGTGCAGGTCAGTGCAGGTATAATAACAGAACGTATAATCGTCTGGTCGATATCAACATAGATATGCCGGTTTGGATGCTCGCAATGGAAAGGCAGGACAGCAGCTACAGCTGCAGTAATGATGTCTCTCTATTGCTCGCAGTAGCTTACGTCCTTATAATCATATACAACAATTCAACGGGCTAAACAAGCTTCTTTAACTACCGCGCATTAATAGCTCGGAAGGCGTTACAACTCAAGCCTTCACAAAGCTCACATTAACTTTTGGCTATCTATTCTTTAACGTAGGGCGTCTTTGTCTCAAAGACGAACCATTTTCATAGTCCCTCTAAAACATCGCATGTTTGTATCATCGCTTTCTATTCTTTATACATTTTCGTATATAAAACACAATGTAGTTTGCGAAATGACCAATGAACGCTATGTGTGTCTACATTTATGCACCTTGGTTAAATACGCTTGCAGTTACGGGCTTTCGATTAATGAGGCTTCCATGCATGCACTGAAAAAGCGTGCACAGAACACATATGTTGGCTGCAAAACGGTTTTTTGGATGGACATTTTGTTCGCCCCTCGCCGGCTCTTTTGACCCAGCTGAAAATGTGACTCTCATGTCGTTTGTTCGCGTGATATAGAGAACGTTTATTGGTTGTGCGTAATTCTAGGACCTCTTCATTCAGGAATTCTACCCCACGCTCACAAGTCTCGTCAAACGGGACTTTGTAGAAGCGTATTAACCACGATACACAAGATGGTCCGACCGACAATATCGTGTGCCCTCATGGGCTTTGCAATGTTTACGGATGTTGCACAGGGTATCAACATTTACGTGACCAACAAGTGCGACGAGAGCATGGTCTTGGCTCACGTGACGCCAAACGGTGTCACGACGGACGACTTGGCCTGTGGTGGCACCATTACGAAATCAATCGAGCCTAGTTCTGGCTCACACGTGTTCAAGTCGGGCACGGGAGCTGAGGCGACGTGTGAGCATTGATTACATTATACTTAATGCTACTCATTGAAACACTTATCCTTTTTATTGTATACTTATGTAGTGGCCGAGTTTTCTACCGTGGGTGGTAAGAGCTGGTATGACATTAGTGCTATTCCTACGGGTAAAAAGAGTGGTGTACGTCGAGTTGTAATCTTATTGTTTGTTTGTTGTCATCTCGTCTAACGTCTTGTCACTCATTGTAATTGTATTCTTTTACTCGATAAGCCTGGATATTGTACGAGTCTTCAGGATTGCAAGACCGTCACGGGTGGTGTGGGCTTTAATGTTCCTATTCAGATCATTCCTCATACTCCAGATGGCGGTCGCTGCGTCGAATTGACTTGTTTGACTGAAAATTGCATTGACGCTTACCAGTTCCCTAAGGATGACACCAAGACCCACACGTGCCCATTGTCGACGGATTTTGATCTGACGTTTTGTGCTGGTGGGTCAGGTGGCCAAGCGCCAATGGCATCGCCTGCCCCAACACCGCCATCTACGCCGTCCACGATGCTCAACCCACCATCTACTTCTTCTCCGGTGCCAGCGTCTCCTTCTCCGGTGCCAGCGTCTCCTTCTCCGGAGCCAGCGTCTCCTTCTCCGGCGCCAGCGTCTCCTTCTTTGGAGCCAGCGTCTCCTTCTTTGGACCCAGCGTCTCCTTCTCCGGATGCAGCGTCTCCTTCTTTGGAGCCAGCGTCTCCTTCTTTGGACCCAGCGTCTCCTTCTCCGGATGCAGCGTCTCCTTCTTTGGAGCCAGCGTCTCCTTCTCCGGACCCAGCGTCTTCTTCTCCGGAGCCAGCGTCTCCTTCTTTGAAGAAATTGTCGTCTTCGTCTCAAAAATCGCCGTCATCGACCACGGTTTCGGATAAATATCCGACATACGCACAGCAGCAAAGCATCGATCAGTTTGAACAATCACCTGTTTCGGACTTGAAAAACCAGGCCAACTACGAGAACTTGCGCAAGGAAAATGGTAAAACTGAGCCGAGTGTCAACACGCAGCAGACGACCGAGACGAATCAGAAACCTCACAAGGTTGACGACGCGACCGGAGGAACGAATCCAGCTGTCTCTTTGATTAAAGATGACCACGTGCAGCAGATCAACACTAGGTCTGCGGATAAAAGCGGTGGCGCCACGTTTATTTTTGTGGGCGTCGTAGCGTTGTGCGTGGTGATGGTTGCTGCTGCCACGATCGTGGGGGTGCGTAAGAAGAAGGCGCAGTTGGAAGAGCTCGAGAGCAAAACTCCGCAATCCACGACGGCCCACGGCACTCTAGCAAACTTTCGCACCCCTCGCAACAACGTCAGCGTACTGTAAGCAGACTGGTTTCCACCAGCTTTGGATACGAGTATGCACACTGCTCTCATTATCTTACGACAGGTAGCAACTAGTCGCGTGAAGTCATGCGACTCGAGAGGACAGGAGACGACTGAATTGGTCATACATTGCTGTGCGTGCTCGGCATTGCGTATAAACTAATAATGACGTCTTCACGCTGCGTTGCTGTCGGTTAATACAGATAGATAGTCGGATGCTGCGGCATTCGTGCTGTGTAGCACAAGTTCTCCCTCTTTTGCGAATCAAGCATTTAGGAATGTCGTTTGACGATTCTCCTTGGAAACATGTAGGATCGCATTGCAGCTGCAAAAGCTTAGGCACAGTCTTGCCGGCACTTTTTAGAGCCTGACACACGATCTCGAGGTGCTACACTAGCTTGCTGTCACATTTTGTGGCGATCGTGTACAAAGCAGAGCATTTTTTGGCCGAAAGCTACTCCCACTTTGCCGGTACAGCTGTGAACCTCATGTCGATATGCATTTGTATAGAAATACGCCACTATGAAGCGTCTGTCAGTACTATTACAAGCTTCTGTGTCCAATCAATTGATAACTCTAGCTCTACATCGGAGAGATGCTTTATGTATTTGTGATGAAGGCATCCGATCGTGTAAGCATGTGACAAGGCATGTAGCCATCGTACGATCGACTTGACTTCATTATGACTCATTTGGCCTTCCTCCGTAGAATCATCGTCAATCGATCTCCTCTTACGCGGTAGCTTCCTGTGATCCCTATAGCTTCATTCATTCTCGCAATACATTTAATACCTGCGTCTACATCTTTTTAATGTGGTTAAATAGTCGCAATCTCTCAGGAGACGACGACAGCAACACTACACGCGATGACGTGTGGGGCTTTACCGGCTCCAGTCAAAGTGCATCGCACGGGTCTATCGGTGCCTCTGTCTCTCGTACGCTATGGAACCGCATGGAACCAGCTGAAGAAGAGCGAGAGGAAGAAGCTCTGCCACCGTATCTTTCGTACCTACAGCCGGCGTTCCGTCCAACACTTACAACGCCCACAACGCTCGGGACAAGAGCATCACCGTCCGTAGAGTTTTACACACCGAACTGTGGCGCTTCCGAGCTGTCAACAGCGTCTCTGCAGAATCCACAGAGTGCGCTCGAAGCTCTTGAAGTGAGACAAGTGACTTGCAAGAGCTCAGAGCTGGCACAAGCTCTGGAACGTCTCGTCCTTGGCTCGGTCCAACGACATGCTAGAAACGTGGCGGCAAACAGTTCACAGACCAGATGCAAATGTTTGTGTAGCTCAATGCAATTGCAGCTGCAAGAGATGGCGAGACAGGTGCAGACATTGCAGAATCAGGTGCTGGAGCTGACCAAGAACACAACTTCGACGGCCATTGATGTCGGTAGGGCCAGCAGATGGAGTGCTAACGCACCACCTTTTTTGCCAAAACAACAGCATTACAAACAGCCACCCCCGCCACCACCCCCTTCTGCTGTGGACCAGTCGACCGTGACGGTATTGAGTGATAGAATCTCAACGTTGGAAGGACGACAGAGTGCATTTCAGTCGCAGTTGGCACAGATAGCAAAGGTTTTGGGGATTTCTGTTGGGAAACAGGGGAAACACAGTCCAGTAAAGCATTTGGTGCAGACGCTGCGTGATGAAGTAGATATAAAGGTGCAGGAGGCTCGAACAGATCTGATGGAGGAAATTAGGATTGCATTAAGAGATTTTGGAGCGGGCGACATGAGGAAGGACAAGCAACAGGCTGTATCTATGAATACGGTTCTCGAAGCGTTGGCAGGTGAGCATGAGGCGTCCTTGGCACGGCTAAGCGGATCGTTTGAAAAACTGCTGGCGGAGGAGGCACGGCAGCGAGCGGCACTGGAGGCTCGCGTTCGATCCCAGCTAGCGCAGCAAGAAGAGTGGCTACAGCAGCTCGAGGGGGCTTTTGGATCGTCTCACGACCCGAAACATGACCAGGACTTCGGACGCAAAGACTTGAAAGCTGTTGACAGCAAACTTGCAGCACTGGAACGAAGGTGCGAAGAAAGCCGTGAGTGTTATAAGCGTCTAGCTCGATTACTTCCGGATGCAACAAGTGCCAGACTTCTATTGAAACCTGGAGAAGAAGCAGACGACGAAGAAGAGGATGGGCTGCGCTGGCCTAGCTAGACACATGGTAGAAAAGCTATAGGTACGCTCGACAATGACATGCTGTTTTCTCGGAGACCGTTGTGCGCACCTTCCACTTTTGTTCTAGGAGCACTTGGCTATGCTACATCTGCGGTTTACTGCATCAAGTATATAGTATTCGATGGAACATTTGGACACTGTGCATGTGAGATTTTGCGTTAATGTGTACTGGGGACCGTGCTTTCGTGTTGTGCTTTGTTGTCAATGCATCAGAGTGTGTCCACTGTGATTCGGTCTTCGTCAGACCCAGATTCGGTCTTCGTCAGACCCAGATTCGGTCTTCGTCAGACCCAGATTCGGTCTTCGTCAGCCCCAGAGTTACCTGGAGCAAATGGGCCCCGGGTAGACATGAGGCGGTATGCTTCAGCGCTCGGTATCGACACTGTGACATCTAAATTATCGGATCACTCGGTACTTTAGCACGCAGCTGCATCATTCAGCATTATCGAGCATGCAGGTTTCCAGCAGGGATTATTCGCGTGCGTCTCTCAAAAAAGCTAATCAGCTGTCGCCGCATCTACATTGCTATTCGAGACAAGGTGGCATTGCTGTATTCTCTATCTAACTCTAGCTAACTCATCGTATCGTTGTCGTGAGCAAAGTTTGAACGTATGCGATTCCCGGTAGTGTTGCAAACTTGCATGCTCCGACGCTACTTGACCGTCGTGTCAATGGCAAAAGATTGATAGCATTCACTGATTACTGTTTGCTTCGACCGACTCGATTACCTCACGACACATAACGCGTGTCTTGGAGGGACCGATAATGATTTCCATTGCAGTAATGATGCAGCCGAGAATGTGAAAAGGCAGGTTTCATGCTTGAAGCGTTCTTGTTTAGTTTGGACTTGTCCATGCTACGTAAGTCGTGCTGGAAAGCATCTGTAGTCAATAAGTATCAACAAGGTCACTGATGCATACTAGTCATTCCACCACTCCACCAGCTGGCGTTTGTTTGACCGGTTATCAACGGCTTGGACACGCTAAAAGCCATGGAAAAACGCCTGTAGATGATCCGCACAAAGAGATCGACAAAGTTGGTCTCTACTAACGTGCGCTTATGGTATCCTAAAACTGCAGCAGTTGCGAATGGATACAGGAAATCTTGACGATCTCCAGTATCCCCATCCAGCGAAATCTTTTCGTGCACATTGACCATATACAAGGTTGATCACGTACACTTTGTAATGTCGTAATAGCTCTGCCATTGCTAGAACGGCAGTACTATCGTCCTTGTACAGGTTGTCACCCAGTACATCCGAGAAAATAAGATACACCTCTCACCCTTTGAAAGAGCAAAGCTCTGTAAATTTCAACTGTAGGCATGTTATTAGTCACGCTGGACCGCCAGGGTCTCATAGACAATAGATCCTCGTCGGACGACCAAACACTTGGGAGATTCCTAGTGAAAATGTCGGCAACGTCCCCGTCCCCGTCCCCGTCCATTGATTAAAGTACGACACAATCAATGTCGTTGCTAGTCTGGATTTCGATACTAGAAACGATTGATTCAGCTGCTTTTTTGATTGCATCTACTGCTGCGGCGATCGCGGAAAAAGCTTGAGTTGTGGGACTCGCTGCTGTTGCTTTGCCACTTCGTTTGGATCCCAGACATTGACCACTCAAGCTGCAGCAACCGTAGTGTTGACCAAATGCTGTTGGGTCATCATTGATAGCAGAGGAATAGCGTGAGATGTTGAAGCTGTGGTGATGAATACTAACGAGCAAACTATAGTCGATGCTATGAATGCTACAGAGGAATGATGAATCAGTGGTCAGCTGAATTGCAACTGCTCGTGCCGTTGGATATGGCAGTGCCATGTGGCAATTCCAGTTGAGATCCTTGCCGATTTTGGTCGTACTAGTTGGTGGTTCAAATTACCTTCTCCTCGGACATTGCAGCGCTGGTCGTGACTGCCACCTACCATGTACTCGACATTGCAGCATTTGCAAGTTGCGATGGTACCCGTAGGTTTGCGACCCTCAAAGTCGACCAACTTACGACCCTTTCAGATCAAACCGCTCATGAATTGAGAGTGACGTGGCGAAAACACTCTGAATGACTACGAAGAAGACCGTCTTGTCATACATGGTGAGGCCGTAGCAGCCAAAATAAGCGTGTTGTAAATGGGTTGTTGTATCTTCTTCTTGAAAGGGTGATAGGTTGGTAGGATACTCAGCCGAAAATTGAGCTCCTCGTTCGTAAGTGTCTTCACTACACTTAAGACCTTTGCTTTTTCTCGAAGACGACGAAATACGTGTGAGCAAAATCTTTAATCCGTTCATCAAGTGCCAATTCCTTCCGTTCCGATTTTCAAGTATCAGCTCTTTGATCTGTGTACAGCTTTCTATTCGGTCGTCATAGTAGTCATAGTAGTCAATAGAAGTATCGACCCCGATACAGATTGAACCGACGATTTGGCCGATGATGCTCGTGCTTGTTGTTCAGCTCTATCACCGCTTTGACAAATTCCTTTGGTCGTGTTGGTGACAATTTTGGTTCGAAGCGCCCAATTGAGGCATTTGTTGCATCCGGAAGTAATCGAGCTAGACGCTTATAACACTCACGGCTTTCTTCGCACCTTCGTTCCAGTGCTGCAAGTTTGCTGTCAACAGCTTTCAAGTCTTTGCGTCCGAAGTCCTGGTCATGTTTCGGGTCGTGAGACGATCCAAAAGCCCCCTCGAGCTGCTGTAGCCACTCTTCTTGCTGCGCTAGCTGGGATCGAACGCGAGCCTCGAGTATTGCTCGCTGCCGTGCCTCCTCCGCCAGCACCCCGTCGAAGTTGTGTTCTTGGTCAGCTCCAGCACCTGATTCTGATGCACCTGTCCCGCCATCTTTTGCAGCTGCAATTGCATCGAGCTACACAAACATTTGCATCTGGTCTGTGAACTGTTTGCCGCCACGTTTCTAGCATGTCGTTGGACTGAGCCAAGGACGAGACGTTCCAGAGCTTGTGCCAGCTCTGAGCTCTTGCAAGTCACTTGTCTCACTTCAAGAGCTTCGAGCGCACTCTGTGGATTCTGCAGAGACGCTGTTGACAGCTCGGAAGCGCCACAGTTCGGTGTGTAAAACGCTACGGACGGTGATGCTCTTGTCCCGAGCGTTGTGGGCGTTGTAGGTGTTGGCCGGAACGCTGGCTGTAGGTACGAGATAGACGACAACAAAGCTATTCTAACTACCTATAGCCTTTATCCTGGTCGGGGTGGGGTAACGCCCTCCCGGAAGGCCTGAGCTAGCTTAATGCTAGCTGGGCCTTGGACGGATGCTTCGCGGTATCCGTCAGTTTAGGATGGGCCTCTCTCCCTCTACACACCTCTCTCTTGCCGCTCTCACCCCCAGCCGCCAGTCAAGCCGCCACGATGTACGCCGCCACGCCCGAAGTCCCGAAGTCCCGGCATCTCCGCTTAGGTACGCTCGCATAATCCTTTGTTCCACGGTGCAAGCAACAAGAGACCCTCCCTGGGTAGGACCTGTTGACAAGATAGACATTCAAGGGATCCAAGCAAGAACCTACCGCTGGACACCGCCGTCGACTGGCCCCAGACCTTCACCTCCTTTGCCGGTGTGCAAAGGATCGTGCAGCCTGGACGGCCTTCAGCGCGGCGCATATAGCGCGCGCCGCTTAATGGGCCCTAGCGAGAGTAGAGAGAAATGTAGAGAAGAGAGATAACCCGACGCATGCGGAAGTTGAGCCACTTTGGTGGCAAGACGGCTCGCGTAACGCGTTAACATACATATATAGCCTTTGTCTAAGCAACAAATCTGTAAAGACTATCAAGTCGAGCCTTCTAATGTCAGTGTGGGACATATCGCTTAATTCTACACTGAAGGTAGTTGAAGTAGCACCATTACTCCCATTGACCAAGCATGCGTGCGAAACGCATAGGAATGTTAACCAAGCAAGTACCAATACCCACGATTCTGCCTATCTGAATGCCAGAATCTACTGCCAGTCGTATCTTTGTCTTGGCTGTGACAATTTATTGATCGCCTGTACTATCCAAATTACACAGATGATCCGATTGAAAGACAACATTCCAGTGATGATTAGACACACAAGAATGCTTGTATCGTCCAACCAATTCAAGAGTTCATTCAGCCTCTTCATTTTGCAATTTGCCTGCCTGACCACGGAGCTGTTCCATCCAGTACTTCCCACTCTACCAACGAGATGAAGGTGACTCTTGTAGTGCTGGTCACATGGACAGCTATAAGTATGGCCACGGCAACACCAGTGCCTATAGATGCCGCTCTCAGCGCATTCAATGCGACTACATCGACTGCAAGTCGCACCCCAATCTCGGGCTTAAGCGCGAATATGACAACCGTTGACATTACCGAAGAGAGGGTCATTGACGTTCCGCCGGAAATCACGAACATGCTGGCGAGATTGCACGCAGAATTGATCGGGGACCTTCCCGCTTATATGCAGCCGGCCAAAATGAATGAATTGAAACATCGAATCCACGACATGAGGCAAATGTTCTCTCGTCTCACCGGTGCCACAAACCATGGCAACATTTTTGAAAACCCATACTTTCTCCAGTGGACAGAATCTGTCCGGCAGTCCTACGCGGATTCTCCGGAAACGGCAGATAAGGCGATGCTCGGAATGCTGGCTATTCATTTTGGAAGCGATGATAATCTGGTCAGTGCTCTTATTGCGGCAATAAAGATCGACACAACAAAAGACGTCGCAGATAAACTGCTAGACGCTCAGCTTAATATGTGGGCAAAGGACAAGAAAGATGTGGAAGCGGTATTCTATCTTTTAGGGCTCCACAAGACAAATGGTAAAGTTTTGCAAAGTCCACTTTATTACAAGTGGGACGCGTTCGTCCAGTCAAAATACCACGATGAGACGGAAGCGTTTGTTGCGATGTTCCCAGTCTTGGCAAAGTATATAAAGGGCGAAGATTTGACCAGGCTTGAACATATGCTAGACAGCAAGCTTGAAGGAGGGGCAAAGGATTTGGAAC